AAAAAAAAAAAAAAAGATAAAGAGAAGGAAGAAGTTGAAACCCACAGATTAAATCCAATAAATATCAGACGCCAAATAAGGGTTGTCATTCAGGTCTGCAGAAATAACAATAAACAAAAGAATTGCAATTGGGTTAAATGCCTCATGAAAAAATGTTTCCACTGGAATGAAACAACACTTGTCTGTGTGTGTGTGTGTGTGTGTGTGTGTGTGTGTGTGTTATGCAAAGGGCATTCCTGCCATCTGAGGATGAAATGAATGCTAGCAGAGAGCAAGCTGGTGTCACACTGCTGGTCCCAAGCAAGGTGATCCTGCTGCAGTTACAATACAACACTGTTCTGAATCACAGAAGAGGCGAGGAAACAGAGCTAGAGCACCTCAGAACAAGTTTGAGCCAGACACAGTTTTAAACAGAATGAATCAGAAGTTGAAAGAGGAACATGGAAAACGCAGCCCACACAGTCATAGTGAGCTGGTGTATTTCAATAGCTAACCAATGTAATCTAAGACAATCTGAGGAAGAAAATTGCAAGCTTGTTCCTAAAGAACACAGGGAGAAGGCTGTACCTAAAATGTTTTCAGGTTTGCACAGAGTGGTTTAAAAATTTATCATCGACTGAGACATGAAGAAGCAAATTTTAATAAATGCCAAAGAAGCAATAGTCCACAAAAAATAAACGCTAGACTCAGTCATGTATGGACCTTGCCCCCCAATAGAGCCTGCAGCCAGCTTAGCAAGACCCTTAAAGTCATTGAGAAGAGCAGTCCTGCTGCTCAGCAAATCACAACCATGTGCCTGCCCCCACACACTCTGAGGGAAACTGGTGTGTCCTTGTGAAGGAGCAAACCCAGCTCTGTGTTGTCTCAGATCTCTCTGGCACGCTAGACTTCTTAGTGAAGCCAGTAGCTCATCACCCCAAATCTGTGTAAAAGCCTTGAGAATTAGACCCCAAGAAGGTGTATGCCCACCCCGACCCACCTTGAATCCTCTGAGCCACCCAGGTCCTCAGGGACTTATCAGGCAACCAAGACTCTGCCTGATGCCTCTCCATGTGAGATTTATCCGTTGCTCACGGTAACAAATAGCCTTCTAAAATACAGGGACAAGCATGAGTGACGGGAAAGCATTTGACTGATACTTTCTTCATCACCCAGCTGTCATTTTTGAGAGAAAAAGAAATGATGACTGGGAAATTCTGGAGTCTGGAGCAGAGCAAGAAAGGATGGGTATATGAAGGGAGAGCCAGCATGTAAATGTGT